CACTGACTTCTAAGCAGAAAGCACTGAAAGATACCAAATGTGGTGTGTGCAAGTGACAACACAGATGGTATTTCTGAAAAGAGAAATTAGGGGTGGAAAACTGTAACAACCATCTAGTACCAGAATTACTTATGAAAAGAGGAAACATATTCTCAACTAATTATGATAGTTTGTTTCAAGTCAGTTAATCTTTAAAATTATTAATATTTTATCTATATTGTCAAGTTTAATTGTAGGACTCAAAGACCTCAAGAAGGAACAACAAATACTAATAATTATAACAATTCATTTCCATGCACCATATGCTGACCTAATACTGTACAACACAGATACAGTGAGATTCCTTGCCTTGACAGCAACACATTTCTAATTCTGTGCCTGAACTATTTTATTCACAATCTAGTCTCTACTTAACAACAAAAATAATTGACAAAGAATACTCTTTGAGCAAAATGAAGGTGGCACTGTACATCCTTTGGGAATCTTGTGTCTAGGTAAATACCAAACTCTGAAAAACTAGGGAGACCATAGTTCATGCATGGTAATTCAAGCTCAGTTGTTGTCTTTGAGCAAAGTCACAATATATATATAATATTCATAGTCATTCAGCTCTTGCAAATGGTATCAACACTAGGGGTTTAAGTCACATTTATTCTTTAAGAGTCCTTACACCTTCATTTTGCTAGGCAGAGGTTATGTTGAGGCAAGCAACATTTTATACCAAGCAGGAGGAGCAGACTTCTGGCATGGATTTAAACACTGAATCCCACACCACACAAAACCAAAAACAAACAAGAGGAAAAAACTCTAACAAAAAAAAAGGAACAAGAAAGCCAAACCAAACCAAAAAAGACCCAAACAAAACCAACCAAACAACAATAACAAAACACTAACCACGAGTAAATTGTTAATATTTTTAACAAATGTTATGATTTACTTAAGTTTCTTTGGGGATTCTTTGGATCAATTCCATGAAATGAGATTTTCACCATTATGTCAAAACTTTAATTCCTTATCAGAAGCTCTTGATAATACTCAGAATGCATTAACAGAAATTTTAAACACCTGTATAATCAAGAAAAGTAAAAAAAAAGAAAACATAGACACAGTCAGTGGAATAGGACCTTAGATCGTTCATAGAAAACTTCCTTTTATAGGGTTTGAAAATACTGTATCCATATGTGGATATGACTCAGTTGTGAATCATAAGCTTTCTTGAATGACAGAAAGCATCATACAGCTGTGCTAAATACATCTCTAGATGTTTAAATCTTTTCAGTTTTAAACATTTAAGCAAATATCTTTTAAATAAAATCGTATACTGAAAAGGGTGTCTGTTAGACATTTTTCTCTCAGTATTCCTGCTTATCTAATTTAATAAAATTGTGTAACTTGTTCAAAGCCATTTTTTTCTCCTTTATTATTTTTCAGAATCAAATATTCTTTGCCTTTTCTTTTCCACAGACATTTGTATTTCTGAATATACAATTAACATTATGACCATCTTTTCTTCTTTACCTCATCTTCCATTTGCCTTTTAGAATTTTCTTCTGAGTCAGAGGTAGGTTTGTTTTATAATAGGCTGCTGCTGTCTTTACCACTTGTTTGCTCCAATATAATTTTTGTCAAACTGAAAACATGTTATATTCTTTGCAACCTTAAAATATCACTGTATTTTACATCTTTTTCCATTTCAATTTTTTTTTATCATTACTGAATGCTTTGTCATACTGTCTGTATTGAGTTTCTTTTGGTCAACGATACTCGCTTTCTTCCCAGAAGAAAATTCTATACTTTATGCTTTAATCAAATTACTCTGTCCAAAGTAATTTTTTGTTTAGTGATTACTTTCTAATTTCAAGTACCTCATCCTTTCTTTTCCTGGCTAGCTGCCTTCAACCTTGTTAAACATACTCTGTTTGAAATAATAGCCCTTTCTGGTTTCCATTACTGTGTTCTGTTTCTTCCACTGTCTAACTGTTCTTTAAACTTGTTCTTCGGCAGATATTTTTCTTTGTCTCCATGAATTAAAGAATTATCTCTCTCTTATCCCATGAAAGTGTCTTTCACATTAATGCATGTATTTATGCTTCAAGAGAAATTTAGCATTGTTTAAACAGAGATCATAATCTCTGTCTCTCTCTACTCCTACCAGTTTAATGTTTTATGCAGTTCTGCTGATGCTCAGGTTGTTGACAGTGATTGTAAACAGAATCAGGTCCAATATTAATGCCTAAAGGATATCCTCATTTCAGATACTGAAATGAGACTGATCCCTTTCCCTATTTTCTCCTTGTTTCCACTCTTGGAGATGAGTGTGACATTTTCATTTTTGAAGACATCAGGATACTTTTATCTTTCAAAGACAACAAAGAGTAGTTTTGTAATGATGTCAGCAAAGTCCTTCAGAACTCATGGTTTCATTCCATCTGACGCATGTCAGGGCAAAATGTGCCATTTAGATGTCCAATTAATTTGAAATTTCAACATTTATACTTGTGTTGTTTTATTGCCAGCTATTTGTATTAAACACACAGTACTTTATCATATTTTTTCTTTCATTTTCTTCCCCTTTTTCCCCTTTTTTTCCCCCTTTTTTAAATTATCTGGCAGTTTTTATTTATTTATGATTGACAATTAAAAGATAACTGAGCAATTAAATCTTCTTTTCTGCTACTGTTACACTTGACTTCTAAACAAGAACATGTTTTATGTTCTAGGTCAAACAATATAACTTATAAGAAACAGCATGTGATTTTCACATAGCTGACCCTACTGTTTTTCTGTATTCCATGTTTTGCTTTTCTACTGTGCTGTTACTACAGTGATTACTTGTTATAACACTTTCTTATATTAATCTCGTTACTATTTGTGGTGAAAACCAGAAATATATGAGTTGTCAGTAGCTTGCATTCTCAGTAGTAATTTAGGTTTGAGTTCTATCTGTTCACACACATGTGGATTTGGCATTGATTATTGTACTGAACTCTTTATAACAGAATATTTTAAAAAATTAGATTATAGTATTTTCCCTTATGTAAGTAGGTCAAATAGTGCATAAGAATAGGAATATGTCTTACTGAATCCTGAAAATATCATGAAATAATAGAACAGAAATGCCAAATTAAACAAACAGACAAAAACCAAACAAAAAACCAAAACAAAACAACAAAAAAAAAGGCAAAAAAAACCCCAAAACAAAAAAACAAAGAAGAAAACTTCTTAACTTTGTAATAATGGAATAAGTAGTTCACCAACTTCCAGTAACCCGTCATTTTAAAATACTTATTATGAAGTCCTATCCCTACTAAAAAGTCAAAATCTCTGTACCAGGAACAGAGTTGCAAAACTGTAGAAGGTCAAAGGGCATCAGAACTTGATTCACGCTATAACCATACATATTTCAAGGATCTTTGTTCTCTCTGAGACTGTTTGGTATTTCAGCACATAGGAAAAAAGTAATTTGCCTTTTAAAAATGTGCTGTTACCTATGCTTAAAGACAAGCACAGAAAAAAATTATAGATGCACCCTGCTGAACCCTCACTGATTTTTTCTATAATCAGTGGAAACCTAAAAAGGACAATTTAGTGAGCTGAAACATCCTCTGGACTGTTTATCTATCTTCATTTTTTGTAAATGACACGGAGAACATCTGGCCTCCCATTAAATGCATTCAATTTGAAAAATTAAGAAACTTTAGATGTCAAAACTGTTACTGAGGAATCTAAATGTCATCATAATGGTTAAACATTTTAACCTATCTTTTTTGCAGACCCACTTTCCTATAAAAATATAGGAAATATTTCTCAACTCTAGTTGATTAACACTACAGCAAACTACATTTTGTGGTATTGGATCAATTCCATGTTTTCATTGCCACTTTATTTTACATCTTTATACATTTTATAATTAAAACATTTTTATTGAATCTGCTGTTTTAGTTCATAAGTATGTTAAATAGTGAATAACTCTCTAGTATAGAAACTCCTTGAACACATTCTGTTGACATGCACACGGAATTTATCTTGCAGATGTTTGTATTAAACAACTAAGCAAATAAAGAAATGCCCCAGAGTCTCTTATCGTAACACTGAACTGTCATACCTTATTTATTGTTATATAATTGCAAAGATTGTTTATCCATTCTTGCTCTATTTATCTAACACTACCTTCTGTAATGTTCAAGGTCACAGTGGCAGAAGAACTAGATTTCTAGAATACTTCTAGTTAATTGGACAAAAATATCTTGCTGCAATAAAAACTTTTGAAAGCAAAAGTAATGTTCCCTTGAAACGGGGAAGTTATATTGCAAGTAGAGGTTTAGTATATGTATATTATCACTAATGGGATGACTTTTATCTTATATAAAGTGCAGACATGGTTTTTGGCAAAAATTAACTTTTATTTAGCATCAATCCTGTTATTACCTCAGGGGAGTTATTTTTTTAGGTTTTTTTCTTCTTGTTTTATTGTTATCAGTCGTATTTATTAATTTTTAATCTTCACATATAAACATTCCAAAGGTATGTGAAATGTCTGCACTTATTTTCATTTGCTTTGTGACTACTTGTACAAGAAAAATAGTTTCATTTAACTTACAAATTTTTCAGAACTGAATGTGAGCAGTGATTCTGATACAGAATAGGTTTAAGTTCCTAGTATAAAAAGGAGTAAGACTAAAGGTCCATCTAGCCTATCATTTTGTTTTTGACATGGCAGCCAAAACCAAGTATCTAGGTAACATAAGGAGAGGAGGGCAAGGATATATGACACTTTCATATATGTATCTTAGACTCCATCCATTTCCAGATGGCATTTTCGTGTAACTATCAATAAGCCCAACATGTTGCTACTGTGTAGTAACTTAAAGTTAATATTTTTTAAACAAATATGAAGGTTAAATATGAAATTGGGAATCCCTCTTCCCACATGTTTCATTTTACATTACATGTTGAAATAATTCCACTTGCCATGAAATCTAAAATAACCTTACCAGCAAATGCAGCCTTGGCATTAGCAGCGCATGTATCTTCATTCTGCACTTGAATCATACTTCAAAGAAGGAGTATCAAGTGGTATAAAGTACTATGTCTATTTATTTGTTGACATCTCTGCCTGTAAAAATATTGCATGTCACAAGAATGAACATTAGATTTAATCATGCTTTTTTTTGGTTTTGTTTTCATATGGACTTCTGTATAGCAAGCACAGTGAGCACAGAATTGAGACAGACTTGGGTTTTTTACATAAAATATTAGGCAACATGGTCCTGACACTATGGTTTCCAGGACACTAACACACTGAGCATGTTTTATTTCCACTGTGATGAAATATGAAAAATAAAGGTATTAGGAGTAAAGAAGCTGTCCTTTTAAATAGGATTAACCATGAAAACTCATCTTTCTCTCAATTCCTACACAACGAAACTGATGCAGTCAAAATGAAAACACTGTATTGGCAATGCAAAGTGTGTTCCAACCTTTTCTACAGATCACAAAAATAACTTGAATTAAGATATTTGGTACTCTAGACCTCTTGCCTTTTATTATTTGTCTTTCTTGGGTTTATGTTTCATTTGGTTTTGGTGCGGTTTTTTTCCTTTTTATTTTAATATTTGTATTGCAAGGCCTTCAGGAGGGGTCAGTCCCTCAGCAGGTAGTTCCTTTATTCTGATGTTAGCCATCTAAAGGTTAGCTGTCTAGTGAGGTGTTCAACTCTAATGAAGAATGAAAGGGAGAGAGGGAGAGAGATGCCTCTACTGAATAGAGTTAAATCTAGGTGACTAAACTTTAAATGGTTGAAATTAGATCTGGTGAATTCCAACTTGAAGAGTTTAATGTAGTGCCTGACACATTTTAATATTTATAGATGACTCAAATGTCCTGAGATACAGTTAATAAGAATGGAATAGTAAAATCTGGGCTGCTTATGACAAGAACCATAGGATTCTAATGTTCTTTTGTCTATGCTTGATTTTGCATTTTGATAGCAGACACAAGTTTGTCCGCAATCCCTTGTTGATAAGGTGTTTAGTGCTTCTTGATATGTCCTCATTTGTATAAGAACAGAAAATTAGGCAACTAAAGATCCCATTATACACTTCATTAGACTAGTTCCTATTATTATGACCTCATTCCAGCTTGGGGGAATAGGTTTTGTCTACCTATATTTCCTGGGGTTTCAATTGGATGTGCTATATTTCCAGACTTTCTGCCTCAATTTCTTATGTGTGTTCTCCAGTCCTTGCTGCATTTCAGTGGTAGGTGAAGTGAACGTTAACAACACTTACCACTCTCACAGGCTGAATGAACAAGTCCTATACAACACCTGGAGTTCCAGTGATGAGAGAGCCTACAAAAGCGAAGAGAAGAAAGATATCATTAACTCATCCTAAATCTTTGTTGGTGTTCACTTAGTCAAAGTATGTGGTGTTTTCTTTGTAGTGAAGCACTATGACATATTGTAAAGGATCAATAAAGTAAGCAAGTAAAAAAAAATTATATAAAGACAATTTAAACAGCTTTGGATGCAATATACAAGAAATGCAACACTGTGGAGTTCTTTAAAAGATCATGGAATAAGCCATGACTGCCAGTGGGGTCTATAATGGCTGCATCCAACTTACTCCAAGTTTTGGGGAACCGATGACAACAGGGTGGCCAAGGGCTGTCTGGAAACAGTGACCCAGACCTCTTGATGGTATGCAAATATGACTATAAGTCATTCATTATTCTGTAAATAGTGGACAGCTGAGGGCCTATTGAGCTGTCCTGCACAGCTGTGAGCTGCATAGCAGAATCTCCTCTTGAGTAGGGATGTCCCTCAAGGTTACTCCTCTAGGTTGAGGGATTCCTTGTCACAACAGATTCCCACTAAGTGATTAACTTAGTAATAAACTTTGAAATCTTAGTTAAGTTATATACAGAATTGATTGTGCACATATAATCTTTGGCGCCATGACCACTTCTCTGAGAAGCCTGTTCCAGTGCTTGACCACCCTCTGAGGGAAAAACCTTCTTCTAATATCCAACCTAAACTTCCCCTGACACAACTTCAGGCCATTCCCCCATGTCCTGTCCATGGTCACCATAGAGAAGAGATCAATGCCTGCACCTCCCCTTCCCCTCACAAGGAAGTTGTAGACTACAATAGATTTCCCCTCAGTCTCCTTCAGGCTGAACAAACCAAAAGACCTCAACTGTTCCTCAAGACCCTTCACCATCCTGTTGCCCTCCTTTGGACTTGAATAATAGTAGAATCTAAGGCCAGGGGGACTATTAAATGGTTTAGTCTGATCATGAGATGATGCATTTCACCCAGGGTCACATATTAACAACAATATTTGTTTAGGTTCTAAATTTCTAACTTGTGTGACAGTAAACCACAGGAGCCATAGGCTCTATTTACTTCTAAAGGATGAATGATTTGTTGCTTTGGACTGCTGTAATAAATACCGTTAAATTTCTATTGGAATATTAACATGAGAAAACTAGTACATGCACACTAGTGCACCTTCGCCCTCTACTTGGATGCTAAGCGTTATCTAAACTGAAGAAAATGTTCTACGGTGTCCTGCAATCTTTTATTTCCCTTTTAAAACCTCAGTGTCTTTCCTGTGCCAGTAGTTAAAGATTCAAGATATCTGTAGCCTGAACCTTGTACACCATATCCAAGCTGCCAGATACAGAAAAGCTTTTGAGCTCATACTGTCCTCTCCGGCCATGTCCTGATCCCACATTCTCAAGCAGATGCACATTAGTGCTTTCATCATCAATTTTCTTTCCCTCTGGTATCCCACAGTTATACCTCTTTCTGATTTGTCAGGAATCACAGAATAGGAAATTGGAGAAACAACCACTCTCTCACTGCAAAAATTAGGAAAAAAATAGTTTCTTTTTTTTTGTATGTGTGACATTTCTAGAGTCATAGGGAGTTACACTACCTGAAAAGATACTGAATCCTCTGAAACTGTTCTGAGAACACTGACATTGGCTACAAAGACTTAGTTAAAAAGAAAAATAAATCCCAGTAGTACAAGAATGACATTTAGCTTAATTTACTTTAATACCATCATTCAAAGAAAAATAACAAAAAATATGAAACTGAATAATCTTATAACTACATCCTGTAAAGTATTTTGTCTGCATAAATTACTTTTGAAATCTGTGTTTCAAATGAGATGCTAACCACATTGTGTCTCTGAGTGTTCCTGAACCATTCTATCAAAAGAGCTTATAGAGGTGATGTCATAGGGTTTACAGCACAGGACTCGGTGATTTTCTCAAGATTCTCTCTCTACTAAATGCACTATAGGTGATGCTTACAACTTTAATCTCTCAGAGAAAACCTTACAGTCAACCACACATGGTAAATTTCTCTATGTGAGTCTTATCCTCTGGGCCCAAAACCTTCAAGCTAGAGCATGACCTACAGTAAAGTGTTGCCTGCCTTAGCTTCATCCTTTTGTCCACAGATGAATGAGATATGATTAAAATAGGTAATTTTAAGCTGGAAAATCTTCTGTGAATGAGCTATGAGGGAACCCAGGTGACTGCGTCACAAAGTTCTAAAGTTATATGAAATAAATCTCACACAGGTTATCCATGAACTGCAATCAACTGGTTTAGATCCTTTTTGCAGCTTCCTTCACAGATACTCAGTTAACCAAAAAAATCCTGTCCCAGAATGCTGGCATGATGAGATATAATTCAAAATGACTTGTAAAAAGTGAAGACAATTGATACTGTGTTTTTACAAGTGCTCCCAAGCTTCTTTTAAATTTTTTAAGTAGTTTGAGAAGATAGCAAAACAACAAATCATTAGTGTACATAGCTCAGTGCCTCAATATCCCCTACATCACTGTACATATTCAAAGATGAGAGGAATTCAGGAATTACTCCACTTTTCTTCTCTCATTTATCTATGGCTTCATTTCTGAATTTTAAAACCTCTTCATTATTGCTTTTCTCTCTTTCTTCTTCACCTGGCTCTTTAGTTGTACAGGTCCTTAAAGAATGATAGCTGGATTCCTACTTCATCTCTCTCACTTATACTTCCTTTATCTAGCCAGTGCAAGAACACTCTGACACAAGACGAATAACTATCTCTATTAATTTCCAGTATATTAATCCTAAATGTAAATTAAACATACTGTCATGCAAAGTGCCTTAAGAAGTATTGCTCCTCTCATAACTTTACAGTTATGAGTATGGGAGAACCTGGTGGAAACTTAGACTCTAACTGGCTAGATACTGACTTTCCTGAGCAAACAAAGTCTCTTTTATAGACTCTCTCTGTTGAAACTTTGTCAACATTTGTTTTCTTCTTTTTCTGGGAATATTTTATTCTTTGAAATCACAGTCCTAACTGCCTTTTTTCCAAAGTGATGTTGAGGTAAAATGTCTTCCTTTAGAGTGCAGTTAATATTTTAAATTTCTGATAGTAGTTATCAAATAACACCATAATACATATGAATACTAGTAGGGCCTTTTGATTTTTGTACCATAAGTAACATGGAGAAACATACACATATTTATAAGAATACAGACATTTCACACACATACCCTGCAAATCAAACAACTAAAATATGCAGATTGCATATGTTTACTTTCTGAAAATTATTTGAATGGGCACCTCTCACTTTTTCCACGCAGATTCCTGAAAAAAACCCTAAACAGTGAAAGCGTAAGGTACAGACATCAAATCTCCCTCTTTTGTTTCATCACGGTCTCTGTCATTTGTGGGCTATGCCAGAAACTAGGCCAACAAAAAAATTACATCACATCCTCTTTTACTGTCTTTAGATTCTTTTCGAGTTCTCTCATGAACAATTTTAGAAAATCTGTTTCAGGCTTTCCCATGTGATTGCATGGCTCCTGTGTTGGTCATTTTTTGTTGTTTTTCTTTCTGGTTGATCATAGTAAGGAAAATATCAGGAACTACTTTTCTTTTGAGTGAAGAAGAGACTAGAGACATAAAAATTTTATTAATAAGAAGGATTGTATGTCATTAGTCTCTTCATCAGAAGTTCCTGGTATTTTCCTTATCATGTGTTTCTGCAAGACTTAAAAGTACCATCAACTCTGGAAAATGCTTTGTATTACTGTTTTTCTCAGCTCATATAAAAACAATATAGTGCTGAGTCTGTGAACATGCTGAACCTCAGATTTCGTTACAGTACCATCTAGAAATATTTTCTAAGACAAATATGGATAATATACAATTAACTTCATACTCTTTAATACATCTTAAATAATTTTTCTAGGAAGAGATAATTCAAATTTGATCTAGTACAGAATTTGTTCTTCAAAAATGAGCAAATTTTTTGGTTACAGAATCACAAAATGAAATAACAAAAAATGAATAAAATGAACGCATGAACAAAAATTGTATAACAAAAGTAATGATTAGTAAAGGTAATTATTAGTAAAGATAATTATTAAAAAGGTAATGATAATACTGCTAGGAGAAAAATAGATTGGAATTTTTAATGAATTGTAGGAATAAGTTCTTTCATGATAAGAAAAATACACATAAGAATAGACTGTGCAATTTCAGATAACAAGAATGCTTCTTACATTAAAAAGAAGATTCATTTGGGGATTTATTTAAAACAAATAAGATCGACAAGTAAATACCAAATGGTCTAAGTAACTTTAAAAATTACATAAGGAATTGTTTCCAAAAGGTCAACCAAGAGAAGTTGCCATACCACTCAAGTGGTATACCTTCCTGCTTTGAAATCAGACACAAAATCAAGTACTTTAGATGAAAACAAAATTTTGTTCTCATTTTGACTATATTAAAACACAGAACAATAATTACTTTCGCTTTCTGTTTAATTTTTGTTCATTTTCTCAGGTAGCCCTATATGAATAAAATTTCACAGTGAACATACAAGTTTCTTCTTTTTTCAATACAATGAAGCATATTTCAGGAATACATTAGAGAAGGACCCAAGTGTTTAAGAATAATTTCAAAGTTGATAACTGGGGATAAACTGATTTGAAATCTATTGAAATTATTTGCTTTCTACTTCTGTCTGCTCTAACATATTTGATATAGGCAGTTAGTATCTGTTTCTATTACCCTCATTATCTGAACCTGGTCAGAGTCTAATGAGCACGTTGCTAAGGCAATAAACAGGAAAATAAGTTAAATGTCCAGCCAGTCAGGTACACTGTTATAATTCATAGAACATATGAGGCAATAAAATTATTGTAAATGAGTTGTGAGACAACTATTATAACTGTGACAAAGCAGCACACTGTAGATCTGCATGACTGCAATGAGAATGAGAAATAATATTAAGTTTAAACAATCTGGGTCCATGTAGATCCAGATTCGTAACGCAAATCTGTTCATTCGGTCAAAGGTAATACAGGACATCGTATCTTTGTTCAGAGGAAGAAGAATGTGCCACTAGCATTTTAGACTTTCAGTCCCACTGGAGTTGGTATAGTCTGTTGAATCTAACTGAATAAATTCTCTATGCAGTCAATGAACAGGCAGGGGTGAATAAATCAATCCACATAATTTTGATGCTTTGCCTTTCCACTTAATGTATCTTTTCTTTCAAGGCCTTCAAAGGATGCTGTTTGTATTCGTTTTCTACTTTTTCCTCTTAGAGTACAAAGGATCACAGGAAATCACAGAATTGTAGAGTTGTAGAATGACTTCGGTTAGAAGGGACCTTAAAGATCAGTTGATTCCAACCCCTCTGCCATGGGCAGGGATACCATTCACTAGATCAGGTTGCTCAGGATCCTATCCAACCTGGCCTTAAACACTTCCAGAAATCCACTTCTCTGGGCAATCTGTTCAGTGTCACACTACCCGCTGAGTGAAGAATTTCTTCCTAACATCTAATGAAAATCTTCACTCTTAGTTTAAAATCATTCCCTCTTGTCTTATCAGTATCTGCCTGTGTAAAAAGTTGTTCTCCCTCTTTTTTTTCTCCCTTTTTTTTACTCTCTGGGTGCTGGAAGGCTGCTATAAGATCAATCCCAGCTCTCTTATATGTAAGCATCCACTTAGGATCTTGGTCCTTCTAGGAGACAGGCATAGACTGGAGAAGTATGACTGTTTTTACAAAATACTTGTAGAGTGAAAGCATCCACTCATGGAATAAGAATCTACCTTCTAATGTATGAGGTTGAGAAAGACACAGTTTAGCCTTCCTATCCTACAGGTGTCTTCTCCATTAGATCATGAATATCATAAGATATTTCCAGTGCACCCTGGGATGATAGAATTAGAGGTAGTTGAGAACAGAGAAACAAATAAATAACAAATTATGCCAGAGGATTTACCTAGAGGAGAGGAACACTTAAAATTCTAGATCCATGTCTGCAAGTTTATTTTCTTATTTTTCAATTATGATCTTACAGGAAATATACCCAGTTCAAAAGTTGCATGAGTCTGAACTGCTGTACTGAGTGAAATACATCAAGTGTACTTTATGTGAGTGAAAGAAAAATGCTTTATATATATGGAGATGAGAAGTTAACATTGGTCAAATATAAAATCTGAATGGTTTTACCAGTTCATTTAAAATTACATTAACACCTGTAGTCCAAATTTTCTGCCTGTTGCAATTATTTCTCAATAATAATACAATTTCAATTATTATGCACAAACCTGTTAATATTTGCCCTTTCCTGTGGTGTTATGGTCACTCTTTCAAGTACTCTCAAGCTGAAGTCAAGGTCTGTCTTCCCCAGAGGGTGGTTACACTGAGACATCAGTGCCCTGAGTTTTTTGCTAGAAGAAGGACATTGATGGTGAAAGTTATTGCCCCTCCGTTTTAGCTTGGAGTTACTTTCCTTGTTTCAAATTGTCTGCTGCTGACATACGTTTCTTGTCAGTCCATGAGTTTAATTGTACAATGATTACTGTTTTTTAAAGCTTTACCACATATGGCATATTTGTAGGGTAAAAGCAACAGCACACAGCTAAGGTATGGCTAAAATCGAGACAGGCATTTGTTACCATCTCATTAGGTTACTTTTTGTCTTAAGAATAGACAGTCCAAAAAGGCTTGCTACGTTCTGCAAGTCAGTGTTATTAAACTGATAAAAAGCTTGTGTCTGTGACCAGTAACAACAACACATGACCGCAGATCTACAGAAATCTGAGCAGACTCAACGACAGATTTCTCTACTGTATTTAAACAAAATTACCTCTGAAAAGATAACAGAGTCAGAATTTAAAACTTCTATATGGGATTTAAGTGCATGTAGTATTATTTAATTGACTTTGTACAATGTACGTTTTTTAATGAAACTGCAATGACTAGGATGTAAAATTGCACGAGCTCACAAGTGTATAAGAGCAATTAGAATAATATGCTTAAAATTTATTAAGTCCCTCTGAATATATCCATAGTACAGAAGAAAACCTGCTTCTTGGCTAACACTTCAGATCAAACCTGATCTTTCCAATGAATCTTGATTACTCTCCTTCATTCAAAGGCGTTAGGAAACTTTATACCCATGTACAGGTTGTGTACTGACTTTGCTATAATGCCTCAGAATATAATGCTGTAGTACTTTTTAGATAGATATTAATTATTTTAATAATGATTAATCATTATTTTAGGAGCCCTTCTTACAATGGTTCTCTTAAATTCACTTGTTGCTGCTGTCTAGTCCTTGAGAGAGTCTGCAGAATTATCTCCCCCTCCCTGGTCCCAGTTACTTTCACAGCTCCTCTGTGCGCCCTTTTTTTTTTCGTAACAATAATCTGTTGTCCTCCCTAGTCTCTCCATCAGAAATTGTCCTCCAGAGTCATCAAGAGCAACCTTCCCAGTACATGAAAACCACCATTCTCTTTATTTGTGTGAATTGTATTTTCTATCTTAGATACATTAGTATCCTTGAACTTCATCCTGTACTCTGTCACACATGAATGTATGTGTTTTTATCAACATTTTCTGTGCATTTTTGATATAGATATCTATCATTTTGCTGCATATTGTTTTGACACAGAGCAGACATTGTATAGTATTGACTTGCTTTTAAAAATAGCATTTTGACTTGATAAGCCAAATGAGGATGGATCAGATTTTGAATACATTTTTCTAACTACTTATGAACAATCCTCGCCCTTAGGGTTATTTATCTTAATCTTCATAGCTGAACCCTTTGCTGGTTTGTGTTGTTGGGGACAAATAATTTTATTCTCTGTTCAGAGTTTTGTCCAGTTAAATCGTCATTGCATTGTTCTTCTAGTAAGTTCTTCTTCCCTTTTAATTTTAGGATTGGTCTTGCAAGGCTATATTATTGAGAAGATAATCAAATCCAGTTAACTTAATATTCACCCATGGAGACACTGAAACATAAAGAAAAATCTTTTTGGGTTTTTTTCCAATGAACAAGACAGGTACAAGGCATTGAAAAGGAATGCCACTGACACTCCTAGTGAGACAAAAAATTATCTGTAATGTAGGAAAACAAATAAGCAAGAATTCTTTCTTTCCTACGTTCTTTTTGTTCTTATAATAACCTTGAGATGCCATCAGATCTTCTTTAAATAGCTAGTTTAAAAATAATCATGTGTAGCAGTTTGAGTATTTTAAATAAAAAATAGTCGTGGTTATATGCAATCACAGATTTTGAATGTATCTTGGGTGTACTAAATTACATGATGAGATGATTTCTATTTCTTCAAAGCTAGAGAAAGCTTATCTGGGAAAAGGATATCAAAATACTTTTAGAATGAAAGTAAGAGTAAATTGCTAGTCCTGTAATAAAAATAGCAGCAAACACTGGAAAATATAAGGAGGATATCTTATCTATTATAATAGAGGGAAACAGACAAACAGTGGAAGAATGGGAGTTAGTCTTTCACCTAGGATAATAAACCAGCACCTTATAGATTAAATCAATGTTATTATTGTTGCTTTATAAGAGGGATTTTTTTTTTTTTTTATTGAATCAAACTTTAACTTCTGGTTAAGTCAAAGTTTTATATCCTGGATAAAAAAGGACAATCCTCCCCTCACCCTCAAGCCAAGACTCCCTCCCCAGAAAAGCCTTACCTGGAGCAAAATTTTTGCAGATAATATGAATTTTGCACTTCCCATCTGCTTTTGACAAATAAAATTGTTTCTTTTTTTTTTTTTTTTTTTTTTGGCGGACTGTATGAGTCCTCAGAGAAAACATTTACTTATAAACTGTTCAAAATAACTCATATTTGTTCATAATTAGATTACATCAAAGTACCAGCCCATCTGTATGAACACTCTAGTATTCAATGATACAGATTTGAAAGACTGCCTGGAAAATATTCTTGTACTGTGCCATGGTCACTGAGTTGTTTCCTTTTCTTTACTTCCAATTCATAATGTAGGATCATAGGTTCCTAGGGTAATTCAGACCAGAATGCAGATCATTTAGGCCAACTTCCTGTTGAAAGCAGGCTCAAGTATGTGGCCATACTAGGCTGATAACTATGTTTTCAAAAAAGGTTTAGAATACATCTGAGGATCGAGGCTACTAAACCTCTTACATGTGCCCAGAAATATGTTTCAAGAGGACTTGTTTGATGATTTTTCCAAGAAGTGAAGTGAAGCTGATTGGCCTGTAGTTCAAAGATTTCTATCAGTCTCCATGATTCATGTTAAGTGTTTGCCACAAATTGTGTTAATTGCCTCCTGGACTTTGGAGCGCCCTTTCTGAAAAACCTTTGTCATTTCTACAATCCTCGCAGTAGAGATCTAAAGATACCTCTAGACTTCAGTGCTTTATTAAGTATTAAAAGTCTAAATCAAAATCCTTTTAAACATAAATAGCCTTTTAAAATGATGATTTTCTCTTTTGCTTAAAGGGGAGTAAGGGGAAGCTATGATCATATTCTATATATCTCACCCAAGTATCTTTAGTGTGGAAAGACTTCTTGCATTTTTGCCTTAGCTAGACTCATCTGACCAGATGCTCCTCTGCTTTAAAGTGATTGTCTACATTAAAAAGAAGTTAGCTTACACCAACTTAGGAGGCAATGAAAGAAGATTAAAAAAAAAGTCGACACTTGACTTATAAAAAGAATAAAATAAAGAGTCCTTGCCCTTAACTTGTACAACAAGCTAATCAATATATATGTATTCAGAAGCCTACACCATAATTTAGAAAGGAATAATATCACTCAGAAACCTTAGAATAGTTATCTTTTTTCCCTTGAAGTGTTGTATCACATGTTTCAGAGCAAGATTAATGAATAAAAGACAATAATTTAGTCGATGTTAGTGTCAGACCATTTCCAGAAAAATCTTTTTGACCTTAGCTTTGGTTCAGATTTTCCAATGAATCATGAAAGTTAATAGATCTTTCAAATATTTTCTATTGTAAGAAGCTCTAACTGAAAACAGGAAAAATGCAAGATAATTATATATTTTTTTTTAGAAAGAAGGGAAAGAAGGAATTTCAATATGAGTTTACCATCAGTGTAAGACAGTTCTCTCTGTAATGGAAATGATGAGATAAATCATCTGCGTTAATAAAAAAGAAAAAAAAATCACTCTCACAGATATATATTATTTGCCTGGTGGAAACAGAAGGGATGGTGGACTGTTACTTAAAAGGTTAAATAAAAATAGAGTCTGAAAAAAATCTAATAAAGAGAATATACAGGTATCCTGTACATGTTAGTGAATAGTTTCCCACTACTGATATATAAAATGAAATGTAAATTGTTTATGGCTATTTTTCAAGGTAATGTTCATATCTTTTTTTATTTATTTATTTTTCAAATTATTCCATCTGTTTCAAAAACAGAGATTTTGGGATGCAAATAATTCTTGTTCACAGTGACATTAAAATGAGATTACCAACATCTATCAACCAAATAGTGTGACCCTGTGAGACCACATTAACAGTTTTGCTTTACAAAGATAAAGACAAGAACAACATTTTAAACTCTGACCAATTTTTCTTTTCCAGCCATGATTTCAATCAAGGAAGCAAAGGCAATGTGTTATTACCTATTGTGGCTCTCCTCAGTAAAGAGGGCACACAAACATGGGTTCACTTACCCAGTTTAAAAAGTTGACAAGATGAGATGTGAACTCATAGCTTCATAGAATGTCCTGATTAGGAAGAGATCCAGAAGGATCTTCGAGTCCAACTCCTGGCTCCACACAGGGCAAAATAGAAGTTAAATCATGTTTCTAAAGTGTTTCTTGAACACTGACAGTGTTCGGGCCATGATCAGTTCCCTAGGGAGCTTGTACTGGTACTTGACAGTCCCTTACTGCAGAAGTTTTTTCTAATATCTAATCTGAACTTTCCCTACCAAAGCTCCAAGTCAATCCTTCATGTCCTATCACTGATCAGCAGAGAGAATAGATCTGCACCTGCCTCTGCTCCCCTTCATGAGGAAATCACAGGCAGTAATGGGGTCACTCCCCAGCCCCCCCACCCCCCCACTAGTCTTCTCTTTTTTAAGATCAACAAAACTCATATCCTCAGTCGCTCTTCATAATTTATGTCCTCTAGACATTTCACCATCTTTGCTGGAGGTGATAATGATGTAGAGGATAAACTGGTCTGACCTTGGTGACTCCTCTAACATAGATGGATATCCCTGTTCTTTTAATTCCAGTCTCACGCTGGTTGTGTGAGGACACCTGGGAAGACAGGGCAGACAAGGAGGAGGTTCTCCCACTGTTCCAGGCAGACACTTGTTTCCGTTCAACTCTACCCCTCAAGTCCCTATCTTGAATTCGTTAAGCGTG